TGCGGCGTAATACAGACAACCGGGGCGGCCTGCTCGCGCCCGGATCTGTCTTACGTGCGTAGCAGTGAAGCCCTTCTCTGCAAGGGCCTCTGTGATGTGTTGCGGCGCGGTGTCGAAAGGCAGCCCTCTAATGGCCACCTTTAAGCTGCGGTCCTCGGGGCGAGCGTGCGAGTACCAGCTCAGCCCGCTCACCTTGAGGTTGGATAGGTAGTCTACGATGGTGTGGCTCTCGCTGTCGTCCTCCGGCAGGAAGCGCACACCCGCGCCAAAAGGGCGCGCGCTTGGTGGGCGGCCGAGCTTGTCGCGGAGAGCGCGCATGTGCGTCGGCCAGTCCGGCAGCTGCTCAACCACAATCGGCGGGCATTTATATGCCCGTTGGGACGTGGGAGCGCCGCCGGAGGCCGGTTGCGCGGTCGGCGCGGCAATGGGTGGTGCGGCGGTGGGTGTGGATTTTTCGGTCTCGGTGGGGGTAGGCGCGAAAAGTTTCGCAGCCTCGGAGTAGCTTACCGACTGTGTCGGTAAAGCAGTCGTAGCGGGGGCGGTTTCTCGCTCGGGTTGCGTGTCATCCTGCTTCGGGGTGGGTGGTGGCCTCGCCATGGGGACGGGGGAGTCGCCGCAGCTGCGGGACCGGCTGAGTCGCGGATCGCAGCGCCAGCGGGTGCGTCTCTCCTCCGTTTTAGGCGGCTGGGTGTACATTGGCAGCAAGTGAATGCTGCGTGGCGGCGGGAAAGTGAGCGGCATCTTGCTAACCCTGCGGTTGTCATTGACAGTGGGTCGGTCGCCGAGCCGGTAGATGTCGGTGGAGTCCTCATCCATCTCTAGGAGACGGACGAAGACCCGTATCCAATCCGCCAACCGCGCGGACAGTAAGCCAGAGTCCAGGAGACGGGCTGCCATCGCGGCGTCCAATTCATATTGGACGCGGGGCGACTTCAGCCCGTGCACCACGGCGCAAAAGTGCGCGAGGTTGTGCGCGATGTCCGTGTCGGTCGTCGGGTTGGAGTTGTCCATGCTGCGGAAGTGGGGGCTACGTCAGCGCGAACCTGGCCGAGCGCAGCCTTGGGGCGCGCTCAAGGCCTGCGGCTGGGGGCGCGGGAAATCACCGCCGTCGCAGAATGGCGCCAGGCAGTCTCTCGAGCGAAAAAATACTATTTTTTTCGTCGGAGAACTTTTGCGGGTAGATTGGTTCCGTGCGCGGCGACGTAGGTACGGTCCTTATAAAAATCAGGAGGGACCTAAGGGCGTTATATAGTGGCCCTCTGATACGAGTTGCCGTAAGTTAGGCACTGCAGTTGGATAAACTCATGACGCAATTTGAGGAAAAATAAAAAGAGAATAATCCTGAAATAAATTTAATCAATAATGGGGAAATTGCGATCGGATAATATATTTTTGCGTCATCTGTTAGAAATAATGGTGTAATTATTATTGGAATGCGCAATAACTATTTTTGTAAATTCCGCGGTCAACGCGAGTCATACATTTTTACGCCATAATTAAATTAATAACGACATGTTGTTTGTTTGCAAACTGGAGTAGAATTTGTGCCTAAGGTAGCCAATACGTTTGCAGAGTACAAAGTTTTGACATGCTAACTTTTTCAAACTCCATACAAGCAGAAACTTGCACGCCTATCAGGTGCTCCGTGTCTACTCGGCTGCACCATTGAGCTACCGATAAGACCGCGGCGCACATGACTCTCCAACGCCGCATAGAGCTCGTGGTCACACAATAGAATGAGGTGCGGCGACTGTGCTATCTTTGAAGAAGAAACCACGTATTTCTGCTCAGGCGTATCAACGGCGGCTTGAGCCCATCAGAGACCACGTCCGCAACACACAAAAAGTTCAGCTCGCAACGGATATTGTTCAACTTTTAATAATACAGCCTGAAAGTTCTGCCATGATGGGTTTCGGAGCTGCGCATAACAACGTGGATGTGACGATTCTTTTTAATCAACCACAAATGGCGCACACTGGCGTAAACTCCCTTGAATTCCCAATGACATAATTGAGGTAAAGCAGTAACATTAATAAATGGCGATACATACTGTTTCGTTACCGTTATCCTCATGTGGTAACAGGACTGTTACAATTACGTTATCCAGCTAAGAGGTAATAATTACACTGGAATTCACGTACCAACTAGCCCTGGTAGTTATTGTAAATCCCGAGATAACGTGTTCGGTTGCCATGGTCACAGAATACGAGACGTGACAGAGGTTTTCACCAACGTGTCACTTGCTGCCTTATTCTCGCCGTCCGAACAGGACGGTGACCCGGCCGACAGAGGTTGCATAATGTTTATCCTTCACATAGCATTGGTGCGTCTCGGGCATCGCTGCACATTACAGCATACGGAGATCGCGTAAGACCGACGTCACACTCGTGTACGTATGCGACACATGAACACACTCACACATACGCATACAAGGAAAACGACTTATGAGCTGAGTAGAGGTCACAGAGGTTTTAAGATGAAGTAATATTTTTAGCAGAGGTCTGACCGTCTGAGCGCAGGTAAGCCTTGCTCAGGTACGGTAGATTGTTCACCGCATGTTCGGTCATCTTGACCGACGTCACACTCGTGTACGTATGCGACACATGAACACACGCACACATACGCATACAAGGAAAACGTCTTATGAGCTGAGTAGAGGTCACAAAGGTTTTAAGATGAAGTAATATTTTTAGCAGAGGTCTGACCGTCTGAGCGCAGGTAAGCCTTGCTCAGGTATGGTAGATTGTTATTTAGACGCTGACGCTAGCCTTAAGGTCGACGTTACGTTACTAGGTTGCGCGCCAACGGGCTCGTTAGCTCTGCCGCGTTTATCTTCTTACCTTTCTGCAACACCTGAGAGTCTTTTGTAGAGATTCATGCCTAGACCTTATCTAGAAGCATGCCAGGAGGCTAGCGACCATCGTTTGTGGTGAAAAAATTCAACTGCATTCTGAGGCAAATGCATCCAAATGCATCGGGTTGACATTGCGATTTCGAAATTCCTACTATCACCTGATGGTGCATCTAGGAATTATGGCCCGTACGTTCTCGTGTTCCCTACTGTAGTGATTATATTTATTATGCGAATTATTCCAAACACAGCTCAGGTTTAAACTATCTGTGATTGGAAACATCATTAAAAAAACTGAAAAGAAACAAACAAGTCCAGTAGTCTATAATTCTGTTAATAAGGAACAAAGCTACTTTAACAGTCGGGACCCATTAGATATTCAAGAATACATAATATTTTTCAACAGTGGGTCCCGACTGTTAAAGTAGCTTTGTTCCTTATTAACAGAATTATAGACTACTGGACTTGTTTGTTTCTTTTCAGTTTTTATTTGAAGTATAATAAAGCAGTCGGGCTTTTTGTTTTTTTAAATTTACCTTTTTTTTCTTGTAAACTTGTAAGTATAAGTATAAAAGCCAGTCTAATGTTATCCAGAGTTTTCCTTTAATTTTATTTATATGCGTATTAAAAGCAAGAGGGGAGGCATTCGCCCAGCAGTGGGACGCTATAGGTTAGATTAAATTAGAAGATGTGTCCAACTACGCTGGATTTTTGCAATGACAGTCGTTTTTTGTATGTACCAATAGTAGAAGGGGGCATTACCATATCTGTAATACAGCTGAGACCAGCTGAGGGTTCTTCATCAGACATTCAGACTTTCGATTTTTGACATCAGATGAAGCGGCCCACCAAGTTGAATATTTTTTGTAAAGGCGGTATGTCGATCTCTTCGAATAGTTGGGTTGGGCTCTTGTGTTTTCTAATCAGGGTCACCAGGTGCTCCAGATCTTCGATTATTATAGTTTTTATAGTTTTCCCTTTATGTGGCCATTAATTCCTAACTGTGTACCAAATTTCAGCTCTCTGAGTTTATGCGAAGTACTATATTCTGATGATCATGAGTGAGTGAGTGTCATAAATGCGAAACTTTGCTTTCGCTTAACTTCGGAACTAAATGACCTACAGACTTGAAATTTTGGATTTTAAGTATGTGATTATAGCTTACTGGATGACAAAAATTTCTACGTTCTGGTCTTATCCAGAGGTTCTCAAATAAGGGCCTAATAATGCGGCAAAATGGTTCCAGTAAAGGATGGTACGGCAGTGTTTGCTTCGCGCTCGACTTGGCGGGGGCACTGCCGTGCCCCCCGATTATTATTTATTATTAACATGCATAATTAAGCAAAATATATTTGTAACGTTTTGTTTATTTTAATTTACTCTTTTATGTCAACCCTACCAAAAAAAGGAAAAAAAATCGCCTGCTCTATAGAAGCTTTGTCTTTGTCTCAGTACTTTTTTTATAGATTATGTTATAGGGCAGTGGTGGGCAAAGTACGGCCCGCGGGCTACATCCGGAGTCTGCCGACGTCTATTATGTATAAGTTTAAGTGATTATTAACAACTTAATCTACTTTGTCACTGACCGATCCACAAATTTTAATTAATTGAAATTGTCAATTTTTATACCTTAAGAATTTCATAAATTTTATTGGCCGCCGTTTATAAAGTTTGCCCACCACTGTTATAGGGTATACGAGCTGACGGCTCACCTGAATGGTAAGTGATCACCGTCGCCCATAGACACCTACAAGACCACAAATTTGATGCTGGCCTTTAACGAATGGAGTACGCTTCTTTTTTTGGAGGTTTTCAGGTTGTATTGGTCCAGAAACACAGCTGGTGATAATGTATTCCACAGTTTTGTCGTACGTGATTAAAAAAAACGTTTAGGTATTACTCATGTGATAAATAGCTTTTTGAATCGAGAACTTTGGTGCAAGTGGGCCTAAGTAAGTACCTATAAACTTGTAAAAATATTCTGTCTACTAGCGTTTGATAAGTGTAACCTGATATAATATGTTAAATTGTAATAAAGCTGTATTCTTTACGTCTAGTTAGATTGATGGGATTAACAAAAACTTTCTGCAAGAACATCCATAACGCGAGGTACGATAAACACCGCTCGGTCAGTTTCGTTCATTTCCGTGCTCGACCGACCAACCGGACCGACCTTCTCGACTGGATCTGACTGACTGTATGGTTAGAATGGTTGCACTGTGCTTGCGGCGAGCGCGTGCTTCAGAGGCGTACTTAAGTAACGTAAACTTTAACCTAAATATCTCGTAGTGTGGTTATTATTACTTGTATTTATCAATTTCATCAGTGACTTAATATTAATTAATTAATGTCCATTGTTAAACTGTGCAGTGTCGATACTTTTAGTGTAGTGAAGTGTTATGCAGTTTTTTGCATGAAATAAACATAACATCACGTATGTGGCATAATTTATTCGGATAACAAATGAAGGTCACTTTTGTGTTTACGTTTTGTACAAATACTCAGGTAGGTTGAAATAAAATCATTACATCAATAACTTTCATTGTTGTTTAAAATTAAACGGCGAGGCGCTTCGCGCCGCATTTAAAAAAACCTCATATAAAGTATGTTTTTTTCATAACAATGATTCAAGGCATATTATATACATCAAATTATATCTAAAAAGTTACTTCATTATGATCAATATCATATAAGTCTCTGACTCTTCATATTTTATAAAGAAGAAGAACATCTAAAGTCAGGGTATAAAAAAAATACAAAAATAATAATATGATTTTAGTTAGTTTGGTATAATTTTATAGTATCATAACAAAAGAAGTCATATAAGTGTGATACCATTTTAGAAAGCTTAAAATGTTTTATTTTCTTTAAAGGACAATGGCGAAATATTTGTTGAAGTAAATCTTTAGCGTCTATAGATGTCATTATCACAAATGTTATTAAAATAATCTCAAAAGATTTATTAAACAATTAAGGAGGGTTGTCTAAGTCTGGAATTAAAAACTTAAAGAAAGGGAAACACAATTGACTATTTATTTACTTTTTTTATTGTGGCTTGGCATCATGGCTTTTGAGCCATTTATTTTAAGTATTTTAGTGATGAAATCAACTTTAAATATGTTTTTGTTTCTTAGGGTTTCACGCACATCACTCATTAAATAAAACTAGTTTTATTTAATAACTAAATAAACGTCAATAAATAAATAACGTTTCGTGCATTAACCCGTGAAAAACTAGTTTTTTTAAAATATGTTGTTCGTATGTTTTGCATCGTTTTACGCTTAAACTGTATTTAATTATCTATCAAAAATATCGGGAAACATTATTTTTCAATATTATACTGAAACCATAATAAATAATGTCCACAATACAAAGAGTATGGCGCCAATTCTAACGAAAAAAACTAGAACTGTCACTGTCATGCTGTCATAGAATTGTTGTTGTTATTGTTAACATTATCGTTGCTTGTGCTAAAGTGCATGCGTATTGCAAAGATTTAAGTCGGCGTAGGTATTGTGTTTTTTCTGTGATTTGGTTTTTTATGTGACTAGGCCTACATTTGGACTTTCGAAATCTTTCCCTGCGACTGTTGAGTAGTGCTTGCCTATGACTTCCGAATCTAATATTTTGGACACGATTCCGTCCCATACTGTGGATTTTATTTCATTGTATCTACTATCTACGATATTTTGATCAAAGATGTGGAATAAAAAATATTATATAAGTGTTTCATATTTTATTAACATCCCATTCGTTCACTATTAGAAATCCTTTTTTATACTTTATTATTGCTGTGGGCATTTTCAAATTGTTAAGTACTTCTTACAGCACAGACAATAGACATTGTATTCGAACTCAATAACCCTTGTCTGTTAATTATTATTATGTATTTTGACGCGGTTTGTCAGTACTTTTTACGACCACTGATCATACATTATAAATAATTTTTTTTTTCGTCACTAATCTACGGTACCGGTATACTTCTATAGTTCCGTTCCACGTATTTTTTATTTTGATATAAAAATACTCTTGAAAATACTTTTATAATTAGTTTTTGTATAACTTGGTATGACATAACCTCCAAACCTTCAAAGTAGAATATCTAGGTATAAATCCAGACTTCCTATAATAAAAGAAATAAGACGAATCAAATCGAGAATCTAAACTCTATAATTTAACATGAAATACATTTACAGAGGCAAAAAAATTTTTCAGCAAAATTTTGTATGGGAGTTCGCCATTGTCCTAAAGTATATGCAAAAAATCTACATCGTAGTCACGGACCTGAAAAAAAGACGGACGTAATATCAAAGGCAAATCATGTGAAGCATGACAATGACATGTAGGTCAGACAAAATCGTGTGTTGTACACTACCTACACTCACACTAATGCACCAGGTCGGACAATCCGCTGCCATTTGAACTCGCGTGACAGCGCCAGTCACACGTTCAATTACTCCGATATATTTTAAAAAAAATGCCGTCTTATGTGGTGAAATCTTTTAAAAACTACACGAGTAAATTTGAAAAGTCACAAGGAATCACCTACTATGCTTAAGTATTGACGATTCTTGATATTTTTTTTATATTATATTTTATTTACAAGGATGAAAATTGTAAACAAAAATATAACTGTGTGGCTACTTTATTTACGGGAAATTTTCCCTAAAAGTAGGGAAATTTGTATTTCTTGCATTTGTGACTAGGTAAGATAAGATTTCGTAAATTTTTAGGGTTCCGTATCCCAAAAGGAAAAGAAAAGAAACCATATTATTCATAGAATATTTTATATAAATTATTGTCTTGTCTTCTTCCTAATAGGTTTCCTAGAAATAGAAACCGTAGAGATGACTGGGTTTTAATTATTCGATACTGCAAAGGGGATAACAATTAGGAACCCATCACCTTCCAGTACTGTGTGCAGTGCACACGTTGTTTGGTTTTCGTTCAAACCGGAGCCTGTAAAGAAGAAATATTAAAAACTAGCGGTCCGCCCTCGCTTCGCTTCGGTGTAGAGCTGAATTGTTGTATTATACACAATGACATTCATCTATGATTTTTCTTATACCTGCATGCAGTCTCAGCCCGATCGGTTTAAAATTGACAAAGTTCCATACAAACTTTCATTCCCTATTTTATCCCCTTGGGGGTAGAATTGATCAAAATCCTTTCTTAGCGGATGCCTACGTCATAACATCTACCTGCATGCCAAATTTCAGCCCGATCTGTCCAGTGGTTTGGGCTGTGCGTTGATAGATCACTATGTCAGTCAGTCAGTCACCTTTGAGTTTTATATACAGGGTGTCCCGTAAGTAATGGTCCAACCGTAAACCCTAAGTAGTTCACTTGATTGCCTACAACTAATTTGAACCGTTTTTTGAAATTCATTAGGGTTGCCAAAAAAAATGATAAAATGTTTTTTTTTTTTAATATTTCTGTCTTGAATTGGTTTTTTTAATAGCATTGACGCAAATATTAAAAAAATTCAAACTTTTTTCGCTAAAATGTAGCTAGATAGATTTACTATCAACTCGTTCATCACATTTGCATAATGACATTGTATTTCTCTCAAAAATATTAAAGTAACTTAACATTTTATTGTATTTTATTTGGATGACCTAAATTGAAAAGCTCCTAATGTAAAAAAAAAGTATGACACCAAAGTGTTCCATTATTTTAAAAACATGTGCATTAAGTAAGGTTTCAAAATTGATATAAAACTTATGGTTAACTAGTAAAGTTGCAAACATAATACAATGAATCCGAAGAAGAGGCAAATATCTTAAAAAATATAATTAAATTTAATTAGTGTCTAGTTGTGCATTTTTTCATTATTGGGAATGTTTTAACGACACTACGCGCACAGTACACAACAGTAGTACTTTGATCATACTAGCCCTCGAATCGACGCACGCACACAGACAAATAATATCATTTACACGGCCGCTAACCAATCTTGGCAAGACAAATCTACGCAGTGCCACGTCGCACGCCGCCGAGACTGGTGTGAATTTGGACTTTACGAATTACCTATCGAATTTGGACTGTTTGTTTTTTATAGAGTTAACGACTTGGCGAGTCTATTGGACTCCGAAAATCTGTTTGTTTGGGGTTGTTGAATCTCTGAACTTTGCAATGCCTCGCAACGTGAACACACCTCGTGAATATGCTATGATGCATTACACCTATGGAGAAGCAAGAGGTAATGCCAGAGAAGCTGCAAGATTGTACCGAGAAAGGTACCCGAATTTGCGTCACCCTGACCACCGAATTTTTGCTTAGAGTGCATAACTCGCTACTTGATGGAAGGATTCTTGGTACTGGAGTTGGTGTTGGTGAAGGAAGACCACAGCAAGTCAATGACGAAATAATTTTGCAACAAGTACAAGAAGATGCATTAACGTCAGTTCGAACTATAGCACGACGTTCTGGAATACCTAGAGCATCGGTGCACAGGGTTTTAAAAAGATACCGTTTGCACCCGCACCATCTACAACGTGTACAAGGAGGAGCAGAATGTGCATAGCTGTAGGCGGAAGGCAATTTGAACATTTATTATAAAATTATAACGGTTTTTTGCTTTTATTTCTAAAGACCTTATTTTACCCGTCGTTTACACAAATTAGTGCCATAAAAGCTAATATCAGTATAATCATCATGTTGATTAACGTAAAGACATTCCTAATAATGTGAAATAACACAACTAAATACTAATTTAATTAATTTAGTTTTTTTTAGATGTTCGCCTCTTCTTCGGATTCATTGTATTATGTTTGCAACTTTACTAGTTAACCATAAGTTTTATACCAATTTTGAAACCTTACTTAATGCACATGTTTTTAAAATAATGGAATACTTTGGTGTCATACTTTTTTTTACATTAGGAGCTTTTCAATTTAGGTCATCCAAATAAAATGCAATAAAATGTTAAGTTACTTCAATATTTTTGAGAGAAATACAATGTCATTATGCAAATGTGATAAACGAGTTGATAGTCAATCTATCTAGCTACATTTTAGCGAAAAAAAGTTTGAAAATTTTTAATATTTGCATCAATGCTATTAAAAAAACCAATTCAAGACAGAAATATTGAAAAAAAAACCTTTTATCATTTTTTTTGGCAACCCTAATGAATTTCAAAAAACGGTTCAAATTAGTTGTAGGCAATCGAGTGAACTACCTAGGGTTTACGGTTGGACCATTACTTACGGGACATCCTGTATATAGATTCAGTTGAAACCCGTTAACAGAACTACTATACAAATAAACTTTTGAAACTAGAGGTGGGTCGTCGACGTATTTTTCATCGAAGAAACTAAACCGTCCACTACCGGCCCATCGCTATTTGAAATTAAATTACGATAACCAAAATTATTACAAAATGAATTACAGGGAGTACTTGAACCTGCATTTTCTGCTGTCTGGGTGGATGCACTAATTGCTATGCTACCGAGAACTTAATGATCGTGACGAATTTCTTCTTGTATTTCTTAGGCTGCACGGTA